TTTTTTTTAACCCATTCGTTTTTTGTCATTATAACTTTTGGGACGAGCCCGGGGACCTCACAATTCAACCCGGAGTTATCCTGGCAGCCTCAGCCAGTTTCGCTTCCGAGCCAAGCTCAGTAATCAAAACTAACTGCTCCATTTATCTCAGTCTATCTGCTGGAAACTGGGTCCAGCGTCCCAACTTTAAACACTCAGGTAGTTCCATTCTTGCTGGGATCTAATTCCAAAACAAAATACTATCAGGAGGCACTACCTACGGGCCTCTTCACCCCGTTTCCAGGGCGCCACGTATACTTGTACTGTCCTAGCCTTTAGTGACCTCCTGGGCCAAATCAAAAGAGTTTCAAACAAGTTAAAACAGAATCACAGAGAGAGCCGGGACCAAAGAGCTGAGCAACTGACAAGGGGGCTACTCAGTTCAAGGTGGGCGGGGGCCCATCAACCACAGTTCAATTATGATCCCACTTGCTTTCATCTTTAACAGTTTGACACTGACTCCCCATGACCTGAAGAACTTGGCTCTCGCGTTCCTTTTTTGAGCAGCTCTGTTCGTGCGCCTCCAATCAGTCCAAATCAACCTTCTGATATTGGAGAGAACCATATCCATGATAGCAATGTCTGAATAAAACTTGTTTCTGAAGAGTCTGTCGTTCCTTAGGGTCCAGATAGTAAACATTAAAGCCGCCCTACAGGAACAGACGACATAACTCCACCCCTTACCCAGTTCATTGGAATTTACCATTATCCCCTCAATGACTAGCCTCTCATCCCACTTAACCTCTACCCCCAAATGTCTGTTCCAAAGCCTCTCCCACCACAGCCAGATTCTTTTGGATTCGATGCATTCTCACCATAAGTGGGTTGCGGACTCCTCCTTCTTGCATCTACAACACTCAGTCTCTACTCCCATTCCGTTCTCAGAAAGACGTTTAGCCGTGGGTATGGCTCGGTGAGTCTGGAGCCACAGCAGGCTACCAAACTTGGCTGAGGACACCTTCCTCAATTCTCTCCACAACATTCTCAGTGAGGCCGAAGAGATGGCGCTCACCCGACCAGTTCTTTCGTGACTCTCCGCTATCCACCTACTCCTAACCCCCAGTGATGTTGCACAGGGGCTAGTTTGAGCTCTATATCCAACCCTAGGCTTGTATTCCAGCAGTGGGATATCACGAGACGGGACTGCTTCCCGCCACCCCCAATGTAGGGGAAGGACTGAGAGCCTGTGTGCCGCCTCGATGCCCAAAGGGCATGTATATACCATGTTTTCTCTGTCCCGGCTTTTCTCATTTCCTTTGACCTGAACCACTATCGAGGAAATCCTATGATCCAGACGGACAACCGTCTCCTCTCCCGGTAGCAGGGTAAGTTCTGAAGAATGGGATTCACACCCCACTGTAAAAGGGGTGGCCACCGCGTCTCCATTACTCAGGAGTTGCTGAATTCTCCAAATCTGAGACACCCCCTCCACTCCGACCCGCTTTACCCAATTCCCTTCATAAGCCTGGAGACGGAATTTCAGGATCTCTTTCCAGTGGCTTGGTATATTTACAATAACCTCAGTTACCCTTGCGCCATTGTCCAAGCGCGGAGTCCCACAA